CGTCAGGCCGGCGAACCCCGGGGCCTGGCTCGAGGCAACGCCAAGGTGTCCTGCCGGCGCAACGCCAAGGTGTCCTGCCGGCACGCCGCAGTGCGCTTGTGCTTTACTTCCAGCTGAAGCAGCAGGCTGGCTTTTCTGGACTATTTCTCTCCCCGCTTGCTGTCATAACTCTATTGTATGTGGGTATCCATAAAGTACTTTCCCTGAAGGCACGCTGTAAAATACTTTCACATGGGGAAATAAGTCATGATTGCTGTATACTTTAAAGGGCGCAGAATGAATACTTCACCTTGTGTAATAAGTAAGCCTGATCCTGCTCGCTCTGCAGCAAGACATGCTCCTGTCGATGGGGCTGCTCGCAGCAGTAGGTGCTCCACTTAGCTCATAGCCATAGGAGGACGCCCTGAGTAAGGATCTACTTTTCTGCAGGTTAGTAACACTATGCAATATGTGCAGGAAGATTTTTTTTTTAATAGCGTAACCATAGCAGAAGAAGAGTTTCTGAGAAGTCAGTGTCGTTGCTTGAGAAGGGGGGAGGAGCGGACGTTACACTCGTGTAAGATTTTGTGCCTGTGCTGGAGGAAAAAGCATCTCCTTGAGCACCGTCGTTCTGATCCTTCTCAGTGTTTCTTTTGGAGGTGCCCAGCTGCACTGCAAACTGGGCACTGAGGTCTGCCCGAGTTGCTGTGGGTAGGAGAAGAAAGGGAGGAGAGCGATGAGGTGATCCTCTGTTGCCAGGCACCTCCGTTTGCAGAAACATCCAAAGCCGAAGGTGTTGAACGGCTTGTCCTGCCCAGGTGGCCAGAGTGCGTCCTCTATGCCTTTCCTTAGGTAAGCAGCGCTTTTCTCTCTTTCTTCTGGGTTTCAAGGCATAGTTTCACGACCTACGCGCGGTTCTGCAACCCCTTGTCTTGGTGGGGTGGTGGGATGCGGCAGCGAGCGCAAGCCCGATAAGTCAATGTTTTTTATCACTGCCCAACTCTTGGAAAGAAGGTTTGGCCGTGAAGGTGAGTGACTAGATGTAAGTTTTGGTTTTGCTTTCTTCATCAGCTCCGATGAACGGAGCGATCCCAGGAAAAGAAGTCTCTGTCCCACCCAAACATGTTGCCTCTCCCTTCTGGCATCCATGAGCTCCTCGGCTGCAGGATCTCTGCTGATGGCGCGTGGGAGATGTCCTGTCTGAGCAAAGACGCTGGGATCGCTGTGCAGGGGGGTATTTGGCCTCCACGTGGAGGAAGGCAGCTACCAATTTACCTTTCAAATCTAGTCTGCTGGCCTTAGTTTTAAAGGAGTGCTTGGATTCGGCAGGGCGGCCGGTGGAAAGGGTCTGTGCGTTTCTGCTCTGTTGGTTTCAGATCCTAAATGGTCTAAATTCTCTTTTCAGGATCAGAAGTGGAAAGTTGGAAGAAACTCGTGGCCTGCTAGTAACTTGCTGGCATCCATTCCTGGAGGCAAAAGTCACTTAAAGCTTTGAGGTCTTCTTTATGTGCTGCTTACACCCAAAGGGAAGCAGAGCGTCCTTTGGAGATGGTATCAGAATCCACAGCTTTGGTCACATTATGATATTAAAGTCATGTATTTTTAATTGCTAGAGGTTCAGCCTGTGACACTAGCAGCATTGCTTTCCGTTACTGCTAGCGCTGTATAACGCTTGAGAGCGTGAGCTTGCTTTCCTCCCGGCAGCAGCCTGCGGCGCGCTCGTCGGGGTGGCAAAGCTGCCTGTCTCCGGCCCCCTTCTCATCCAGTCATTCCCACGCAAAGCCCGGTTTGACGCCCGCTTAGTTGTGCTAAAGCATCCCTCTGCGGAGTTATGCTATTGATTGGCTCTGTTCAATGGGCCAGGCTAATAATAACCCCCTAATGCCCCTTGATTTTGGAAAGTTATTCGGGGATCCGGTTTTCAGAATGGCATGATAAGCATCTTGGCAAAACTGCGCTGGCACTGAAAGGAAGTGTCGAGGCAGGAAGAAACGGTCGGGGGCAAGGAAATAGCAGGAACTTCTTAAGCTGTTACACCATAAAAGCCCAGATGTAATGATCTGACACTCTTCCACCTATCCCCTTCCCCCCTCCCCAAATGATGCTGAGATTACACAGGCTTCTAACTTTTTTTTGACAAAAATCTGTGTTCAACAAGAGCACAGATGTGAGTGAAGTGGTGAGTATGGTTTTTAGTAGTGAGCTACCGCAGAACCAGAATAAGCCAGGAGTTATGGCCATGTGGAAAAACCAAACTAGCATGCAATCATGTAATTAAAAGGCTATCGTAACGCGTATGCAGCTGAGGAGGACCGGGGTACCCAGGCTGTCTTTTTACAGCGTTTATTAATGCTTGCAAGCTTGACTTTGTGACCTGAGTGACTTTTTATGCATTTTGTATGGGCATGTATATGTATTTGCCACAATGGTTAGATGCAAAAGTGTCCGAGGCTTTGAAGCGGAAGTTTTGCTAGATCTAGTTGCTTAAGCCTCTGGATTTGCAGGATCTCACATCTGATCTCTGCTCTCACTGTCATGTTAATTTGGAAGTTGCTAAGATATATGTTCTTGGAATGATTTCTGTCACCGTGCAACCCTGTTACTATTGTGTATATGCCTTTACAGCGGATAAATACTGAATTTGTTTTTTCTAATATTGCAGTTACCACACGGGTGGGTTCTTGTGAGTAGCTCTTCAAAAAGGAGTGACTTTGCTGAATGAAAAGGCTCTCAGAGGTGCAATTTCTGCTTGTGGATTCCAGTGTTTGTATACAGAGTTCCTGCTTACGCGCAGAGTGGTGTTTTCCCTGTGATGTGATCGTTACAGTACCTAGAATTAATTAGCCATTGGTGGCAGTGCTTCAAGACAGCAGCTCCTGCATACTAATGATTTGCGTGCTAGGAGTATTCTGCATTTTGGGTTTGAAAGGAAAGTTTACTGTTTGTATTTCGACTGTTGCAGAGAACCTGGTGTATGGACGTTGTTTTGTGTTTGGCCTGAAAATGGACCTCGCCAAGTGCTGTTAGAGCGTTAGCTGATTTTAGCTGAAAAGCGATGGTATTTGAAGGAGCAAAGTTTAGTATGGCGTTTATTGCAGACTTCCAGTGTCACCTATTACCTTCACATACACTCGCCTTTAAATAATGCACTTTTGAGCTGAAACCTTCCATGCTGTTGAGTTAGGAATCTAAATATGAATATCGGTACCATGTTCAATGTGCTAGTTTAAATGACTTTTCCACTGACTCACTCTGCGACTTTGAATGAGCGAGGAGTGGAAGTCAGTAGTCCTGAATCACTCTGTCCTCCAGACAATTACCCTCCACCCCCCGTAATTCTTTCGAGCAGCAATCATATTTTAAAAGCAGTGATAACAGCCGTGTTTTTCCCCATTCTAATCGCTCGGAATTTAAGAGCTACAGAAATGATCTGAAACATTTTCAGCCAGGTTGAAAGCTTTCAGCTTTGAGACGTTTCTGTAGGTCACGGAGTCTGGATATACAAAGCCTTTTTCAGCAGCAGTGGGATTTCGCTATGTGGTTTGGAGAATTGTCACAAGTGTTTCTGTCACCTGCCAGGGAAGAGGAACTAGAGTGATCCTCGCAGTCTTACTGGGACAGTCTTTTACGGACTGCAAGACCAGAAGAGGAAAGCAGAAAGGGACCCTCATTGCCAAACAGGCTGCTTTGCCCAAGATCTGGCTGTCCCACTGTTTTCTAGGTTTCTCATTTTTTATTGCGACGTGTTTTATTACTGGACAGAAACCGCCCTTCATTGCCCCAACAGCAAAGCGAACGTGATCTTTTTGCTGCTGCAGGCACGCACCCTCTTTGTGCCGTTTCTGAAACCTCGAGGCTGGAGGCCTGAGGGGAAGGAGTGGAGGGGAAGCACGGGGAAGGAGAGCAGGGATCTCGGAAATAACTGAGCGCTCACCGGCTCGAATGAAGTTAACTGGCTGGTTAGAGGAGCGACTCGGTGCTTCTAACTGAAAGAAGAGGTGGAGCAGGAGCTCGGCCCTTTCTGGACGCCGCCGGATCCGCTGGGCAATAGCAACGAGCCAGCAGCAGGGGAGGCATTGACTAGCGCTTGCCGGCAGCCGTGAGTCACGAGCTGGGAGAAACCTAGTTTCGTTAGTTGCTACATTCACGAAACCATGTGTGCTCTTTTACCTTCTCCCAGAACAAAAGCGGGGTTTCTTGAAATCAAGTGATTGCAAGGAAAAGGGGACTTCTCAAAACCTTTGTTTTCCTATTGGGCTCTCCGACGTCCCCTTAATATTCAACAGAAAGTGATTTATAGCCCTCCTGACACGATGGTTTGGTGTTTCCTTTGTGTGCATAACTTCCTTTTGATATAAAGAGATGATAAAAAACCCAAATTGTAATCTCACAAGCACATGACACAGTGTCTTTGCGGTGCAGATAGCAGGGAAACGCTCTGCTCTTGAGTTCAGTGCTTCAGCCGCCCTCCCCCCAGCTTCCACCCCGCCGCCAGCGAGATGGCGACGGGGACAGAGGTGGTTCCTTCAGACCTAGCAACGCGGCGCGAGTTTTTTGGAAGTCCCCCCCTGGAGCTGAGTCCCCGGTACACGTCTGCTTTTTAAACTCGTTTCATGTATTTTTTTTTTTTTTGGGATGGGTGCTTAGGAGGCAAAACTGCTTGAAACAGCTTTGCGTTTCAGTGTCGGTTCCCCACTAGCGCTTTGCCTCGGAGCGTACCTGGCCCGTGGGGCCCCAGGATAAGCGTGCGCTAGCTCCGCAGCTATCGCAGGCGCGCTGGGAACCTCCGGATCTGAGGCTCCGACCTGACTTTCGGGCTCTCTGCGCTCTGCTCCTGGCCTCTTCCTTGAGGCTCTGACAAGGGGCTGCTTCGGGTAGCCCAAAAAATGGAGGGATCAGGGAAAAACACGGGGCCTGTGCACCCCTTTTCCTCCCCTCCAAAGGAAGTAGTTGAACTAGGCCTCAGCCTTTGAGGAGACTGGGTTTGCTTTAAGGAACATGGTTGCCTCCCTATTCCCAATCTTAGCTTGATAAATAGCTCATGAGAGACGGTCCCTTCTGGACACCCAAACCCGCTTTAGCACAAGGCTCCTCGGTCAGCCTCAGCGAGCGGCAGGGTAAACTGTTGTCTGGGGCGCAGGGCAAAAACAATTTTCTTGGACTGACCTACTTTTCTCACCGTACAGGGTCCTAGTTAAGTGTCTGAGTAGTTAAAATAGCACATTTACATGGCCCAGGCCTGGCCGTGGCAGAAACTAGCACACAGGTATTGATCAGAAAAGGCTTGCGGAAAGGAATTAAGCTGTTGAAGTAGGATAACAAGCAAATAGCTGGGTCACGTTTCGTGGCTTACGGTACGGGGGGGCAAAATTAGTGAAACGGGTGTTGGACGTATCCTCCTTAATTGAGCCGTCAGCTTCAGGGCTGCTCAGTGACGCTGACCCACGCTGTCCTTTCCAGATCCTCACCAACATTTTGTTTCACAGGGTAACAGTCCGCCCTCTTCTCCAGGCAGATATTTTCCCTCGTGTCAATGCCCTTATAAAAACTGCGGCTCGGCAAGCGTAGCGCATTCAAATGGCCTGGCTTAGGAGCGCGCTGGGAAGACTCTGAGGTGGAGAGCTAAAGCTACGCAACTCCTTCGTGGTTAACCCCACGCCCTATGGGATAGCTCTGAAATGGGGAAGTCACAGCATACAAGGAAACGGCGAGGAAAATGCAATGGTACTGCAGAGAGCGATACCTTAGACAGCCATCCACCGAGGCGCTTGCCTTGCTGTTCCCGAGAATTCCCACGGAAAATCATCATGGGCTCCTTTTATGTCCTGTAATCACGAACACATTATGCACCCCTGCCTACTTCTAAAGAGAAGAGTAATTAGCCATCACGTCTTTTGGGAGTGTACATACACTGCAGTACATATTCCAGCTCTGTCTCCTAGAGAAGGAAGATGGATAGCTCTGCTTCGTGCTTGGTTAACGTACCCTTCCAGTTGCAGGAAGGAGCAAAAAGCCCTGCAATGTTCCTCATTCAAACCCGCTGCGAAACTTAACCCGCGTAGGAGCCTCTCTGAGCAAAAAAAAGGGCCAGTTATTACTGGGTGAATGTTCTGGCCTTAAAAGCTGTAAGTAAAAACAGGCTAAGATGTTGAGTTTACCGAACTGACTGCTGAAGGGGTTTTTGTTCATTCTACACTTAATACCTTCCTGCTAAAAGTACAGATGGCGAGGAGTGTGGAGTAAATTGAGGTTTATTGTGATAGAGAAGAATTATGTAGAAATTTGCTGGAAAACAGCAAATGGAAGACATGCTGGAAAACAGGCTTTGTTTCGATAAGTCAGAAATACTTGATTTATGGGCTGTGTTTCAGGGATTGAGAAGGAAACGTCCTAGATCCGTGGCAGATGAACATTTGCCTTTGATTCGGTTTTTCTCTTTGAGTCTAAAAACCCCAGCATTTACACTTAAATGGACATACTGAAAGCTGTGTTTAGGGAGAGAATTTTATCCTCTCCTGCACGTACTTTTAACATGTGATAATTGTTTGACTGCAGCTTTACAAAGCATGGCTGGAGGGTTGGTTTGGATGGGAGGAGTTACAGAGCACTGATAATGACTGCCTGCTGCAGCCCCACTGAAGTCAGTGGCAGCTGGATGAGACCATCCAGGAGAGAGAAGTTTTATTTTAAATGTCTATAACGTACCTTTAGTGGCATATGGCAAATTGCTGCATCCTGATTTTCACATGCTGGAGAGGTCCCACCGACACAATTAGGAACATGCGTGCTAGGATCACATGCGTTTTCAGGGTCACAGGTGTCAAATGTGTGCCTGAACCTCTGCAAAATTATGGGCTTTGCTTCAGAAGGCTTTTCTTTTCAGTTGCCCTACACTTCTGGGATAGTAAGATCTTGTTTAGACACCTAGCTCCTTAAACGTCCCCAGCTCTGCAGCATCGTCCGGCATCTTACGCATTTTATCACGTTTTTTCTTTAACTAGGCAGCTTATGAAGAAGGCATTTTGATGTCTGATGACTTTTTTTTAATGTCATCTGTTTTATCTTTTTCAGACCTATCACAGAGTCTGAGTTCATCCTTTTTCACTTTCTCGTACTAGATAGGTTTCTTTCATACTTTGCTTCCTGTGTCTTGGGCAATGGAGTCCAAAAGTCACGTACAGGTGACAGAGTTACTCTACCTGCATGGACTGTATGCATTTGCCAGTATATAATGGCTGCTCCTTGTACCAAAGTCACCGTCAGACTACCACTAGTTAATTTATCACCACACAGAGCGCCGTGGGTAAGTGCGACAATGAAAAGCTGCTTATAAAACAGTTCCTGCTCAGCTCTAAAGAGATTTAGATCTTCTCTTTGACATTTCTGATTCTAAGAAAGTAATACATGAGAAAGCCCTCCTAGAAGACTTGAGAGAACTAAAGCGTCTGATCAAAGGCCAGCGAGATGGCAGTCCGGATTTTGGCCTCTCTTCTGTCTTGGGGTCTCAGGTGAGTGAAGGTAAGTCTTTGTCTTCTGGAAAGAAAGATGGACGGCTGTCTTGCTTGAAAACCTGACAGGAGACAAAACGGAGGGAATTTTCACCTTGATGCAGCAAGCCAGGATCAACTCTATCCCCTCTGCAGGCAGGCCTTCCCTCTGCTAGTAACAGGATAATCAAGGTACCCTTTGAGAAGGGCACCTGGCATTTTTTGTTCTCGGAAGAACACTAGCAACAAAAAGGGCTTAGTGCTGTTGCTGTACGACTGTCGCTGAAATCACGGCCAGAGCTTTACTGGACTTCAACATCTTCTGCACCAGAACATGGCAAAAACTTTGCAATAGCTTTCTGTTTACTGCACACAAAATCGCCCCCAAACAGGATCTGAACATCTAACGATTGTGTTTCATTATACAGAATTTTCTCGTATTTGGTTTCCAAACATCAGGAGGGAGCTAATCACCGAGGAGCGTAAGGGGTTGCAAAAAGAAAATCACCCAGGTAATAAATGATGCACTACTACTTTTGATGCAGTTGGCACATCCATGTAATCACGTATGGTCTCGTACACTAATTTTCATTAGTGTCTTTCATAGCCTTTTGTAAAGATGGAGAAGAGTGCTAGTCTTATTTTAGAGCAGAAGAAATCACAGCACAGTGAGATACCCAGGTGTCAATGGGAGAACTCAGACTGTAAGAAGCACGGGAGTCATCTGCAACAGGAAAACAACATTCACTTGAACTTAATTCCCAGGGCTTGCTTGTGTGTGCCTAATTGCTGGGCTGTGAGTGGTCTTTAAATCACCTCGAGGACAGAAATATATTCTAACATGTTTTTTGAGACGTATCAGAATTCCTCCACACGGATGAGACTATTGGAGCAAAATTGAATGCTTCAAGCCTAACCACCGCATTGCTTATTCTCTTCTCGTAGTTCATGGCAGCCTTGCTTAGCCCAAAAGTATATTGTGAAGCTGCTCCATCAAACTGTACGTGTTCTAGTCTTCTGCCTGGTGGGGCCCAAGTAAACGTACTCCAGCGGGCATTTCCGCCCTAGGAAAAATTCTTTACATCCCGATTTCCAAGTTTTAAAATAACTCTCTACAGATTAAACACATTTTTCTCCATCCAAAGAAGTGTTTTCACTTACAAATATTTTTTGCTGCCTAAACAAGAGCTCTTTCCTTTGCACTTGTGCCAACATGTAACTTGGATGAAGAATTAAACTTAGATTCTTGGTTAAAATGCTTCCCCCCCCCCCTTTTTTTTATAATGACTGTAAGACATATGCCTGCTCTCTTTTGAATTTTAATCTTTCTAATGAAGGTGTGTTTGAAGGAGGTACGCCCTTCAGCAAATGTTTTGCGGTATCATATTTGTGCCTTTAGTGTTGAGGACCAGCTGCCTTTTCAATTTTAAATGCACTTTTCAGGGTCTTACATCACAGGAGTCTAAATTAAAACACATTTACCATAAAGGGGCGCAGCATGTGCATTCCTACAGGAAATTGCATCGTGACATGAAAGATACCCAAACGCTACGTGTAATTTGGAGGTGAGCAAGGCTTGGTCTTTCAGATGTCCCATAGGAGGGAAGCACCCAAATCCTGCAGCATTGCAAGCATCTGAATCACGGAGGTCAGAGCGTAAAGCCTCTAATTCCCACTGCTTTGAAGACATGTGCGACTCTGAAAATTGACCCTGGCGCAGAAGCGGGGTGGCTGATCCAGGGCTGTGCTAGCATCGGGGTTTGCGTGAGCCCGCGCAGGAACTCCTGTGGCCAGGCACCCTGCTCGGCCCAGCCCCCCCGAATGAGGGGCTACAGAACCTGCGGTGGGGGGGGGG